AACTGTTTTCGCTAGCGGTTCTCATAATCCTCTACATTCTGGCTCCACATGTTGAAATAATTTGAATAAATCTAGACACAAAATAATTATTCCGAAATTATCTAAATACAAATGAAAATGAATTATTTTAACATCTTAAAAAAGGATCACAGCTACCATTCATGATATTTGAACAAGAAGGTAGAGGTATTTAAATAACTTCACCACATCGTTTCAAATAAAGTTTTATCATAACATTCCTACTGCTCATTTTTTGAACCGGTATGAGATTTTAATTTTTTCAGTTTAATTTCAAAATACCCACCCAAATCCACATAACTGTGAGTTAGAAAAGAGTTATAAATGGGTAAAATGTTGAATAATCCATCTCTATCTTGATTAATTTCCCATAATTAATCAATAGTTGTTTTTGAGTGAAGTTAACGATATAATTAATCAATAGTTAATAAATAGATAAAAGGAATATGCAACGAGCATTTACGGATTTTTATACATAACATCTAACCCATATAATTCTCAAGGGGAAAAAACAATGCTCCCCCTCTCTCTCTAGAAAATGTTGAATGGTCCATCTCTAATGAATATCTTGATTAATTTCCCATAATTAATCGATAGATAAAAGGAATACGCAACAAGCTCTTACGGATTTTTATACATAACAACATCTGACCCATATAATTCTCAAGGGAAAAAAAACAATGCTCTCTCTCTCTCTCTCTCTCTCTCTCATATTTAACCAATCATAAGAAGAGAATCATGAATAACATAGTTTTACATAGCAGAAAACTATAATAAAACTACTTTTTTTATGTTTTTTTTTTGGGGAGGGAGGGGATACAACTAGTCTAAATAGATCTCCATCCATAATTCTAAGGGCGTTAGGCCTTATTCTTCCACTTAACCAAACCCACCCCACATATTCTCTAAATAATAAAGAAAGTCCCATACTCTCTCTCTCTCTCTCTCTCTCTCTCTCTCTCTCTCTCTCTCTCTCTCCATGCATTCACATGTCTCCCCCTCTGCAATCAATGCAAAAATCAAATGTATGTCCCCTCTCCGAAAACCAGGAAAAACCCCACATTGTATGTCCTCTACAAACCAGGCAAAACCAATAAGCATCAACTACCCAGCCCAGGTCCAGTCCCCTCGAAATTGGCAATCAATTAGAATCAACTACGGTTGAATCCCCCAAGCACAATAGGAACCCAAACCTACTCACTGAAAGCTTGAGCCATATCACCCTTGAGAATCACTTCCGTCTCCTCATCAGGCTCAATATTCTCTCCCTTCATCCTCTCAATTACAGTCTCAACTGGCCTCCCTGCTGATATGTAAGTCCTTAATAATTCATGATAAACCTCCCTCGTTAATGGGACCACAGGCCTTAGCAAGCTTATAAACTCCTCTATTCCTTCCACATCGGAATTTTGCCGGAAAAACTCTAATCCAGCAGCCACATTGCCGGAATCTGGCAACCTTCTCCTTCCTTGGTGCAAAGATAAAGCCTTCTTCATGGCATCAACAGCCATTGAAATCTGGTTATTCTTCAGATACCCTCCTGCCAAAATCTCCCATGTGTTGAAAGTAAGCACTTTTTGTCGCTCTAGAGCAATCTTTATAATTTCCTCAGCTTTTTCCAAAAACCCATTATTGCAATAGAAATAAAGGAGCACATTGAGCACCCTGAAATCATAGATCTCATGGTGAGAATCCCATTCTCGAAACACCTTGTCAGCTTCCTCTACATCACCCAATTTCAGTAGCGAGCTTATGAAGCACCTATAGCTCGAATTAAGAGGCTTATTAAATGGGGTTTTGATGTGTCCCCAAATTCTTTGGACCTCAGCTTTTTGACCGACAGATGCATAAAGGGTGAGGAGGCAATCATATACGAGTTGATGTTTTCCACCACAAAGTGCCTCCACTTTCTTAAGCATGGCCATCGCATTGTCTATTAAACCAGCTCTAATGTATGCATTTGCAGCCATGGTATATATGTTCCAATGCAAGGTTACAAGGGGATCATGCTCCAGTGTTTGTAGGAATTTGTCCATTCGTTCGATATCTAAAGCCTTTGCATAGGCCTTCATCCTGATATTATTAGTGAAATTGTCTGGACGAATGGCTTTCTCCTCCATTTCCTTGATAAGAATATCTAGCTTATCAACTTCTCCTGTCTGTGTATAAAGTGTCATTAGGGCATTGTAGGACAGAGCAGAGTTGAAGAAACCCAATTCCTTCATTTTCTCAGCGATGGATTCAGCCTTCTCAACTGACCGCTCTTGGGCATAGCAGTTGAGAAGAGCACCATAGGTTTCAAAAGTCTTCGCTTGCTTGGTAATGTTGCCAAAGTATTGCTCCGCTTGCTCTAGACCATGGACCTTGGAGATGAGGTCTAAACGGATGGCATGGTCTGAAGGGCTCAGGTAATGATATCTCCGATCACTCATCCATCGGCAAATCTGAGACACACGATCAATGTCAAGCCACGATGTACGAATGTGTAGAGAATAGTTTTTATGGATCTCTCTCTCTCTCTTTACACATTAAAGAAATGCATGAAGACTAGCTATTGCCGATAGAGATAGATCTCTTCCATACAGCCCTTACTGCCTAACCACTAATCCACAAGTCATTTATACATAAGTAAAAGGATAAACAAGACTAACTGTCCCTTTAGTGCAATACACGTTAATTCTATTGCACAGATAAAAGCGATGGAATAAGAACAAAACGCCGTATCCTTAGTAATAAGCAATGGACTCCAGTCTCCCAAGCAAGTCAACTGATTATTGAAAAGCTACTAAGATGTTGATGTTCTTTTGACGGTGAACCAAGCCGATAGGAACTGAACACTTACTCTCAAATTCAGCGTATGCAAGATTCCTTGCTTTTTGCATGTGAAACTGGTCCTTCCTTGAATTTAAGTATTCAACAGGTCGGTTCAGTCCAGGAATAGCTATTGTGAAACCCGGATTCAATTAATTTCAAATAAGTCGTATCTTGTATCAAAATAAGAGTACTGAAGGAGAATGTTCGATGGATCATTGAACATTACAAACTCTACCCGTAGGCGCTCCATCTCCCACATTTATCGTGAGGAATGGGTTTTGACAAAATCGACACTCGAAATCACCTCCAAGAACCCTGAGATGCATCAGCAAAAAGAATGAGTAATCTAACTAAAAAGGGATGATGCTTGCGGACCTAGCAACATGACGACGAGTTCGATACATGAAATATGGGTTTTGAAAAAATTGACTCTCGAAATTACCTCCAAGAACCCTGAGATGCATCAGCAAAATGAAATGAGCAATCTAAACTAAAAAGGGATGATGATTGTGGACCTAGAATTCAACTTGCATAAAGCGAAATGCTAGTTCCTTACCTGCTAAAACTGAGAGAAAAGACAAAAAAGCACAAACCATATCAAGACCAATGGATATGGCACTTTACACTTACCATAACAAAATGGACTATGGAAACAATAGACCATTGGGATCATCAATGGAAAATGGAACACTTGATGGGGCCCCTTTTTTTTTTGCTGGGGTGAGGGATGCACCAATAAGCGACAGCAGGATCCACCACTGGGGTGATGTCCTTTGCTGGTGAGCCTATAAGTCTTGCCTAGGAAAAAGAACAAGTTTGGCAAGCAACTAGTTATCAAAAAAAGAGAGGAGAAGAAAAAGATCTTAGCAAGATCAATTGAAAACACTATTTTCTGCAACCACCATATTTAAAAAACAATCTGTTTTAACTACTCCATAAAGTACCTAGGAAAAATATCAAAGGGTCAAATTACCAAACAAAATCGTTAAAAAGTACATCATCCTATTAAAAATTGGGACTACTGCCTTTTTAAGTTTCACTCAGGTATCTCTTAGAATATAATAAATATGGCCAAATTACCCTTATTCATGATTGGGAAACTTGGACAAGTAGGGCATTTTGACAACTTTAGACTCATTCAATTTGCCCAAGCCAAATGACCAAAAAACTGCAGCAGTTCACAGTTACGGAACTACAAAATGAGGAAAGTACCCTGGTTGTTTAGAGTTAGCAACGCAGAACTCACTTTTTTCATTGTAAACCCTTTTTCATTATTGCTAACTTTGACAACCCGAGGTATTTTTGTCATTTACTCAAGCCACTCAATTTGGGCTAAATTACAAAAAAGCCCCTGCTAGATCAAGGTTCCCAATCCTAAACAAAGCCAATTATTTTGAAAGGTACTTCAATGAAATGAAACTTAAAAAGCAATAACTCATAAATGCTAAATAGGATGATGACACCTTTAATGATTTTGCAAGGTAATTTAACCCTTTAAATGATATTTCCCTTTTTATTTTTGAATTTTTAATCATAATTTTATTGTTTCCTTTATGGAAAAATATCAATAAATGGCTAACCATCTTACAAAACCACTAATGTGCTCAAATCTCATCCCATTTAATATTTAGGATTGTTACATTTAAGTTTCATTTCACTTGGATCCTCCTTAAAAAATATGTTAGAAAGACCAAATTGGCCCTGGTCAGGATTGGGAGCATTTTGGTAGTTTAGCCCCCTTATGTGGTCCAAGCGAAATGAAGATAATGTCCATGGTTGTTCAAAGTTAGAAACATGGAATAAGGGTTTACAATGAATAGGGCTTTGTTTTGCCAACCCTGAACAACCAAGGGTTATCTTCCATGTCATTAAACTAGGGGCATAGTCATCATTTAGCATAAGCCACTTACGATGGGCCAAATTTCTAAATTTCCCCTACTTGTTCAAGGTTTTTAATTTGATAATAATTTTTGAGGAGGCATCTAAGTGAAATAGAGCTTGAGAAGTAACCATTCTAATGTTAAATGGGATGATTTAACCACCTTAATGATTTTATAAGGTGGTTTGGCCATTTAAGTGACATTTTCCCAATTATTTAAAATTGGACGCAAATTTACGTGGATCAATTGCACCTAAACAACAAAGATCAAGGTGAATGGAGATCTCTTTAAAGTTTGGAGAGGGCCGCTACACATGAAATGTCCAGAGGATATCCCTTATCCCTTATGATGTCTTGATTTTGAATCCCAATGAACAAACAGAAGCACAATACTCTCTATCCCCATAATAGTCTCATGAATCTCAATTGTATCTAAGCTGGCAATGTACAAGTTGTATGAAATTTTCCTAGTACAAGAACTAGCAAGAACCTTTTGATGATTTGATCAATACTAAAGTATTAAGCTGCACACAAATACCAGGAACCATGGCTTGGCTTTAATATCATTGTAGAGTCTTAGACCTATATGAGAACCATGATGTGAATGCTTTTAGCTTTCTTTGCTTATATTATTCATCACATAAAGAAAATTAAGATAAGTTATTGTCTTTGGTTTCAAACATAGATCTAGAAACAAGAAGCTTCAAGCTATGTCTGAAATAAGGAGATGCAAAACAGGCCCTACAAAGATTTGATAACAACAAAAAGCCTCAATCTTTTGTTTAATAAATTACAAAATTCCTGAAGTTCAGAGGCCTTCAGAAATTAAAGCAGACGTGGGGGGGGGAATAAAAAAACGAGGCGAACAACAAGCTTAGTCGAACAGCAGGGAAGAATTGTAAAGATGAGGGTCCAACTAATAAAGCTTGAGTGAAGGTATAACCATGGTTCATGGCCAAAATCTGCAGCATCAAGGAGAGAAATAACAGTAATCACTGGAATAGATGGATTATCAAAATAAAGACAACGAACCATTTACACTGAGACTTCAGTAACTCCGACTAAACCAAAACCAACACAAATAATAAACAATTTTCCATGTAACTAATACCTCATTAATTCTCCCTCCTCATGGAATGGTATCTCCCAGTCCCAAACTGCAATATCATATTCACCAGAATCAGAATGTTTAATGAATGTATAAACAACTTGCTACTGTCCTGACCAATAAACATACTATTGGTTTCAAAAGCAGGATTACTCATTCAAAGAACTCTAAGTGTCTTTCCATCAACAATCGCTCTCGTTTCTTCGCTAGGATCTACATTGTCCTCTTTCATCCTCTCAATTAAACTCAAAACTGGCTTCCCAGATGCAATATACATCCTGAATAAAGTATGGTACACCTCCCTTGTTAAAGAAGCGACCGGCCTAAGCAAGCCAATAAACTCTTCGATTCGTTCCAAATCACCGTGGCCCTCAAAGTACTCCAATATAGCAGTCACTGTACACCAATCAGGCAGCCACCCAGGCTGGTGGGCTTTCAAAGCCTTCTTCATGGCTTCGACAGCCATTAAAATATGGTTATTCTGCAGATACCCACCTGCCAAAATGTGCCAAACATTTGGAGAAGGCACTCTTTGTCTCTCTAGGGCACCGTTCACAAACTCCTCTGCCTTCCCCACAAGACCATTTTTGCAATAAAAAGATAGCAATGGCATAGGCACCCTGAAGTCATAATTCACACAACTAGAATCCCATTCCCCCAACACCTTCTCAGCACCCTCTATGTCACCTATCTTCACCAATGAACTTATCATGCATATATAACTTGAATTTTGGAGCTTTCCAGATAAGGACCTGACCAGTTCCCATATCCTATAGACCTCAGTTTTTAGACCAATGGACGCATATAGAGTGAGAAGGTAATTGTACGCATTCCTCCTCCCCCGGGCAACAACGCCATTCGCTAACGTGGCCTCCGCCTTTTTTAGCATGGCCCCTGCCTTATCTACAAAACCAGCTTTAATGTAACCATTAGCAACACTGGCATAAGAGACCCAATTCACAACGATGTGTGGTTCTTTCTCCATTCTTTTCAGAATCCTCTCCATCCCCTCAATGTCTAAGACCAAAACACATGCATTGAGCCTTAGGCAATATGTAAACAAGTTGGGCCGTATTCTTTTTGCCCGCATATCCTCCAAGAGAAGGTCTAGTTTCTCAGATTGTCCTGTGTGGGTGTAAAGGTTCATTAGGGCATTGTATGTGAGGGATGAATCTACTAAACCAAATTTATTCATTTCCTTAACAAGGGTCTCAGCTTTCTCAACTAACCTTTTATCCACAAAGCAATTGAGAAGAGCGCCATATACTTGGAAGGTCTTCAAATATTGGGGAATGCTTTCAAAGTAATCTTCAGCATACTCAAGGCCATGGACTTTGCAGATGAGTTCTAATCGGATCGCATTGTCACTAGCAGATAAGTTCCATAAGTCACCCATCCATTGGGAAATCTGGAAATCCGGATGATTAACATTAAGTTCTAAGGATTTCTTTAATAATTAGCAATAAAAAAAAGGATTAGAGTTTTCTCACACTACAACATGATAATCAAGCAAGAGAACTGCAATTCTAGGAGAATTACAACTAAAATATGTGAAAGAATGAAAAAGTGACCTCACATCTGTACACTACAGTGTCAAACTGGCAAATACAACAAAGAAATGAGGTCTTATGCATGGGGATACAATCTACTACACCAATTTCCCAAAAATTAAATAGAAGCTCCCATAATCTTTGATGGATCATCAAAACCAGGGAAAGCAAAGATGAAGAAAAGACAAAACAATTTTATTGGATCAGTTAAACATATATTGGGTCATATATGGATCGAATTCAAATTTTAAATTAAAGATATTGATGGAGAGGACTCACCTATAAGATATTCCTTTAATGTCATGACTGGGCTTGTTAAGGTCACCACCCTTCTTGTATAAAACTTAAAGAGAATTGTTGGATTCCTAAATTTGGGCCAACAATCGCCGAAATATTTTCAGGACACCTGGATCCATCTCTATTGGGATATGCTTGGCATGTGCACAGAGTTCATAAAATGCATGACACCATGCGCTTTCATCTCATGCCATTGCCATCGACTCTAGGATTTTAACCTAACTTAAATTACAAGTGAAATGGAGTGATGTACTTAAATGAATGGAAGGTTTAGCTGGTTGAATTAATTGAGACTTCCATATTCCGAAGTCCCTTCTAGGTATCAAGGCATTGGGATTGCTTTTGAAGGCAACTGCATTAAGTGAAACTCTTCTTTTATCAAGCTCAATTCAAGCATCCCCTGGAGCACTAAATGAATTCCAATCTACAATAACTCATAATAAACAGGAATTATCAGATTCAGAACTCAAGAATTCATGCAAATGATATTGGTGAAGAATCCATCTCTAACAAGGTCAAGTTCACCTGATACCTCAAGCAGGAATGTTACAATGAGATCATATGGAGACCAAATAGAGAAATTGATGATTAAAGAAGGTGATATCAAGAAATTCCTACGTAGCAAATTGATTGAGAAGGTTAGGGAGAAGAGAAAATACCTCTACATAATCTTTATTAATTTAGAGAAAACATATATAAGCTACCTACGGGAGAGAATTTGGTCGGTGCTAGCAAAGAAAGGCATCTCAAGATGATATATTATCATAGTTAATGTTATGTACGAGGGAGTGCTAACTAATATGAGGACAACTTGTAGAGAGACGAGTGAATTTTCAGTGACAATATGCCTACATCATGGGTCACAGTTGAGCCCATTCTCTTTGCTTTGGTTATAAACGAGTTAACTAGGCATCTCTAGGATGAGGTCCTGTGATGTATGTTGTTTACGAATGACATAGTTTTGATTGACGAGACCAGTGTTCGCAAAATCGAACTGGAATGGTTAACCAGACATGGGCTTGGAAGCGGTTTAACCAACCTAACCAGTAAACCAGCCGATTCAACCACTCTAATCGGGCAAGTCCCAGGCGGTCAAAAAAGTGTTGAAAAAAATTAAAAAAAAAAAAATACCAAAAAAAAAATCTACTAAAATATGAAAAGCATATAAAGAATGATTAAAACAAAACACATTCAAATGAAGTTGAAAATTAATAAAAAAAAATGGATTTTAACCCATTTTATATTTTCCAATGGCTATCTTTTAAATTTTCTAAAAAAGATGGGAAAATATAAAAGTGAGTATTAATGACCAAAACAATTTTTAATCTTTACCATAATGTAAAGAATATTTAAAAATGCATTACAAATCAAATTCCTTATTTTTGAGAATTTAGATACATTTTTGTGAAAAACAAAATTTAAATACCGGTTGATCACCCTAACAGCCCAAAACCGGAACCGGGCGGTTATCAGTTAGATCGAGCAATTTTGCGAACAATGGACGAGAATAGAGACAATGTAAAAAACTGAGAAAACTTCGGAGGGATGCTTTAGAATCTAAAGGTTTTAAAATTAGTTGGACTAAGATACAACATATGGAATGCAAGTTTAGTAATAATAATAGCATAAATGAGGAATTAGTTAAGATTGATGGCCAAAAAGTACCTAAAAGATATTATTTTCGATATCTTGAGTCGACAATCCATGAGATTGGAGATATTGAGAAAGATGTTGCTCAAAGAATTAGAGTTGGGCGGATGAAGTGGAGATGTACCTCTGGAGTCTTATGTGATCGTCGTATACCAATGAAACTGATAGAGAAGTTAATAAGATGGTTGTAAGACCAGCTATGCTTTATGGAACAGAATGTTGGGAAATTAAAAAACAACATATCTTTAGAATGAGTGTAGCTGAAATGAAGATGTTGAGATGGAAGAGTGGCAGATCGATGATGAATAGAATTCATAATAAATACATTAAGGTAGCTCCAATAGGCGATAAAATAACAGAAAGTGGACTTAGGTAGTTTGATCATGTGCAATATCAACCTAAAACAACACCATTTAGAAGGGGTGATTTGGTTCAAGTGCAAGGCTCTATTAGGGCAAGTCCCCCAAAAGACATTGATGGAAGTAGTGAGAAAAGATATGGAAACTTATAGCGTGACTGAGAGTATGGCTCTTGATAGAGCGGAATGGCAGAACAGGATTCGTGTAGCCGACCCCAAATAATTGGGATAAACCTCAGATGATGAGGATGATGATGATGATGGGTTTGTGGACAAAGATAAATTTCAAATGCGGAAACTTTCAAATCCATACATTAATTCTAGAAGCGGAGCTGATATTTGTCAGAACTTGAGACCAAAGATGAAAAAATCTATGACACTACAAACAATAAAAGCTAATACATTACTAAATATTTCACTCGTCATTTGGCAACAATTTCCATAAATTCAAGAATGCATTACTTTTGATTTATGATAAACCAAGTTAAATTTGGACAGACTAGTATGACAGAGGAAACCATATCATTCATATTAGTCATTGACTTATGATAAACCGAGTTGTGTGCTGAAAGTGTCGGATGTCTCCTAGGAGGCAATAAACCGAGTTGTGTGTTGATAGAGTATTATGACAAAGGAGAACTAATTTCACTCATTTCATAGTTTCAAAAAGGCCGTCCACCTAGCGCTTGGGCATGCTAGGGGAGCCTGGATGCATCACCCATGCCTCAGTGAATCAACTAGGCAGGCTGTCACTGGGTGCTCACCTAGGACCCCACCTAGGCGGGCACTCAGGGATTGTGCCCCCCCCCCCTATTAGGGCATTTTTGCTGTTTTCTGTTTCGATAATAAAAATGCATGAGTATAAATTTTTATTCATGCATTTTTTATAGAAAATCTAGACATAAAATAGGATCCTGGACACCCCTTGCCCCCTTTTGAACCTAGGCCGCCCAAATCCCTGGGCACCCCACTAAGCGCTAGGTGGCCTAGAACCCCCCAGCCGCGCCTAGGGGTCACTTGACATTTTTTTGAAACACTTTTTGAGTTTTAACAAAGCTCAATTTCGATAGAGTATCATCACAAAGGGGAAATATTATCAATCATTTCAGTAATGATAAACCAAGTTTGATTTTAACAAAGTATTATGACCAAATGAAAATAATATCAGTCATTTGAATTTTGATAACCAAGCTCAAGTTTCACAAGGTATTGAGAACTAATATCATTCATTTGAGTTATGATAAACCAACATCAATTAATTGAGAATAATGACAAAAGGGAAGTAATATCATTCATTTAAGTTATA